CTATGGAAGTAGATTGCCCAACCTTCCTTCTGAGGAGTGGCTGGTAGGTTTGAACTGCCAGCCTTCTGGTTAGCAGTCAAGTGCCTTAGGCACTGTGCTACCAGAGCTCCTCTCTTGACTGTACGTGACTGATATTATATGGGTGTCTGGGGCTCTAGAGTTCTTTTCTTAAATGTCCTGCTCCTGCTTCTATGTTCTTCTTTAGCCTCTTCTTTGGATATATCATTCTGAAGATAAACCATACCTCTGGTATGTGCACTCTAAGCTGGAGGGATGGCTGAGGGGTACTGTGTGTAAAGCACGTGGACAGAGCCCGGATGTGTGGTTGTAGAGTCCACATTCTGCATGAGAGTTTCTCAAGGTGGAGCATGGAACTAAGAGAAGGTGGGTTGGGAGCTAGGGAGGAGAGGCAGGTTCTTTCTACACTAGTACAGAACGTCGAGTCTTACTTAAAAAGCCCCTTTATTTATACCTAGAGCTTCACAGAAAAATAAAAGGTTAACAACAACAAAAGAAAAGTACTTTTATGCTGTAACATGATAATCCTTGTGCCCCAGAAAATCACTCTAACCAAAGTGAATGCTATTTGGGTTACTGTATTTTTTCCTGTTATTGTGGTTGTGCTAAAGTGCGGCAAACACAGAATTTTATATAAATTTAAGAGTTTACACTGTAATTTAGTGATAAATTATATACTAGATTTCAGAGATGTAACCCTCAACTCTGGTTAAGACCTTTTGATCTAAATTCCTTAGAAATTCATTCATGTACTAATGGGACTGAGCATTCAAATTAAACATTTTGTTTATCCAACTGAGCTTCAGCAAATATTAAAGGAATTAAAATATTTTAATAGTTTTATAAGCAAATAAACTATTTTGTTTTTGGGTTCGAAGTTTAATGGTGTAATACTGAGCATAATCCCCCCCCCACCACCACCACTTGCCCCCGCTTTGAGTAAATTGTGGCAATAGCTTGAATACATATTAACTAATTACTTACCAAGTAGCTTTCAATATAATTTTATAAATAAACACTTAATGAGGATTCCACTTACACTTTCCCTGCCTGATAATATTCTCCAGCTACTACTCAATCACTGCCAAGCATTTCCCTTAGGGTTCTGATGATGCATAAAGATTTCTTTCTGACAGTTTCTGCCGCTGGGCAGCCACAGACATAGAAAGAAGCTCTTGCAGACCAAGGTTAGAAATCATGACATGGCTCTAAACTCATAACAGCTCACCTTTGCAAGGCAAGAAAGGAATAAGGGAGAAAAGAGACAGAGTTACGAACAAACTGAGGACTACTTCTTTAGCCTGTAGTAGAGGGAATATGGTACATACATAAGGGAAGAATCATTATACAGATCTCATTCTTTTAGTGTTGAGACCACATTTCTATCTCAGGAAGGTTAACTGAGTTAAGAAGATCTCATGTTGTCCAAATCCATGTCATGGGACCAACCTCAAGAAGCCTGTCAGAGTAAGTTTCTTATATGGAATGCCACTTTAACAACCAGTGAAGAGGGTAAGGACAATTTTCATTGATCTAAATCATACTTAAAAATAAGAAGGATCTTTAAATTCTTCACTCCCTTTACAAAATTTCTTCAAATAATTCAATTAAGTTGTTCAGACAATAGTTTATGACAATTTCAAGTGTGTATCAGTATTATTTCAATTAAAATTTAGTTCTAAGTAACAAGGAGACTAAGGGAGAAACCCAGATAATTCAATTTCTTCTCTGAACCTTATCTGCTTCACCAATGATTGAATGAGTGTAATAACATAAAGTGATTACTAAAATCTTTTTATCAATGTAAGCACAGGATTTTTACACATGAAATGGTCCAGTCTAAGGGGAATTTGGGAGGTCATTTAAAGTTAATACTCTAAAATGAGTGTTACTATGTGAGAAATTGGGTTTTATAAATCTTTTTATAGTCCCAGCACAGTGGCTAACATAAAATTGTGCTCAATAAATGTTTATTAAATGAAAATATAAATAAGTGATAGTATTCTGTGAGTTACAGAAGATCCAATAGATGATAACAGCCTCTATCTTGTGTTATGTTAAGGGCTCTTAATTCATTTGGAGATTTTTTCAAGATTTTTCTTGTTCAGGTTATTATTCCTTATCTCTTAGCCCCACAAACAATTAGTAATTTGCTTAGTTAATTATGGACAATTAGAGGAACAGAACAGATTGAGACTTAAAACCTTTTTATGGGTAAGATTGTAAAGGATAGGTAGTTAATAAAATGATGACAACTGAGCAAAGATATGGAAGTGTATATGTCCAAGTTGTCTCTATGAGGGATACTGAAGTCAGGGACACTATTGCACAAAGACCTTGCCATGGGAAAGAGCTTGCTATTAAGAAAGAGATCCTGAATGTTTGATCTCCTTCCTTTACAAATCCCCGTTTCTGACAAAAAAATTAATACTACAGCTCTATCCCAAAGGATTTCAGGAGCTGCATTGTTTGTTTTTGTTCTATTTGAAATAATTTAGGTGGACTTATGGAGTTAAATAAAGGAGCAGCAGTGTTTCTTTAATAACCAAAACTGAAACCCACTGCCTTCAAGTTGATTCAGACTCACAGCAACCCTACAGGACAGAGTAGTAATGTTCCCTAGGGTTTCCAAGGCTGTAAATCTTTATGACTTCCACATCTTTCTCCCACAGAGTAGCTGGTGGGCTCTTTAACCACAGTACCACCAAGGATATTGTTAGCAGCAGACATGCCATTGTAACTAATATAGATGCTTTGGCACCATTCCAGAGAGACCACATTTTACTGAATAACCTGGACACACTAGTGGAAATAAGCAACCAGTTCCATAGAAGGTCTCTGGTTCAGAGATCAGATGTCTGACACGAATGCTCCTGAAATTTCATCAATAAAATAATCATGACTTAGGTTTGTAGATTGCTTAATACTTTTACATCCATTATCTACTTTGATCCTCACCATGGGTGACATTGTTAACTTGGAAGGAATCTGAGATTCACAGAAGTTGGGAAATTTGTGTTACGGTCATACAGCCATACAGCAGAGCTGTATGAGTCAAGCCCAGTTCTTCTATATTTAAATTCTATGCTCTTTCTCCCAATGAAGATAGTAGAAAGATCTTGAGCCCTAGACTATTAATTTTATGAGTTCCTGAGAGGTATCCCAAATAAAGGTGACATTGCCACTATTTAGGAGGAATACAGTAGCTCCAAATATCTAGGATATTCTTGCTTGAATTCTTGAGGAAAACCAAGCAATGATATAGGTTTTATTAATCTTTTTATAGTCTCAGCACAGTGCCTAACATAAAATTGTGCTCAATAAATGTTTATTAAATGAAAATATAAATAAATGATAGTATTCTGTGAATTATAGAAGGTACAATAGATGATAACAGTCTCTATCTTGTGTTATGTTAAGGGCTCTTAACTCATTTGGAGATTTTCTCAAGATTTTTCTTGTTCAGGTTATTATTCCTTATTTCTTAGCCTCACAAACAATTAGTAATTTGCTTAATTAATTATGGACAATTAGAGGAACAGAACAGATTGAGACTTAAAACCTTTTTATGGGTAAGATTGTAAAGGATTGGTAGCTAATAAAATGATGACAACTGACCAGAGATGTGGAAGCACATATGTCCTAGTTGTCTCTATGAGGGATACTGAAGTCAGGGACACTATTGTACAAAGACCTTGCCAAAAGATTTCAGGGACTGCATTCTTTGTTATTTGTTTTATTTGAAATAATTTAGGTGGACTTACGGAGTTAAATAAAGGAACAGCATTGTTTCCTTAATAATCAAAACTAAAACCCAGTGCCTTCAAGTTGATTCAGACTCACAGCGACCCTACTTTTGTTACTACTACAGTCAAAAGAATATATAATTGAGATAGTGGATTCCAGCCATAGATGCACTTTCTAAGATTTCATATAAATGGAAATTAGAAGTATACTAAGAATATTAGAGTCCTCCAAAAGTTATGCCTATCTGGATTTCTCTTCCTCCCTCCAATCAATGAGTCCTCTAGTTGCTAAGATGGGTAACACATTTCAAGTGTGTCATATACATAGTGCATTATATGCAATACATATTTAATCTTTACAATCCCTGTGAGGTAGCTACTTTTATTATATTTAACAGTTGAGATCACTGAGACATAGTAATTTGCCTGAAATCATACTGTTAGCTAGTGGTAGAGCTGAGATTTGAACCTTGTCTAATTAGGTCCCAGGCTTCTTTGAAAAAACTACTCTCTACCACCTCACATTCTAGCTGCCTTCCTCCTGTAGGAGTAATCTTTCTCCATGATCCTTCAAGTTATTCACAAGATAAATACCTCTCTCAAGCTGAAGACACAAGCATCTTTATGATTTGGGCTCTGTCATCTTCTAAGCCTCATCTTCTAACACTTCCCTGTTTAGTGTCCTGAACCATGTCAAACTTATTGGCATTTCCCATAGACAAAATTTATATTATTTTATCCTCATATATGTTATACTTGGCCTGCAATGTCCTTCCTCCTCTGTTCACTCTTCAGTGTCCACAGTTCACATTTTTTTTTTCCTCCATTATCAGGTTAACTCTGACTCACCTTTCAGAATTCTACTTGTGACATTCTTTTGAAAGGTGTCCTTAAACCTATTACAGAACTGTGATCATTAATTTATGTGCAGATCTCCTGAAGCTGATTGTTACCACATGTCAAATGAAATAATGTCTGGATTCATGATCAGTATCACATTATTTGTTATTGCATTACCATTGGAAGTTTAATTTGAGCAAAGTTGGGCACAAACTGTATATGTTATGATGATCTTGTCAGTTGCAACTCTAGTCTTTAGCTCTACATACTGATATACTTAAGAGAATAAATCTCACTTCATGATTAGCAGAAAAAGACTTTTTTCCAATATTGCAGAAAGTTTCAGATTTTCAAATGAGAAAGATGATATGGTGACTTTTACCATCAGACCTAGTGGTATGTTTTTGTGTGTAATTGGTCAACTCTGACTTGTAGTGACCCTATGTGACAGGGTAGAACTGCACTATAGGGTCTCTTAGGTGAAATCTTTGTAGGATCAGACATCCAGGTTTCTGCCACAGAGCTACTGGGGGGTTGAACTGCTGACTTTTGGGTTAGCAGTCTAGAGTTAACCATTGATCCATCAGGTCTCCTTGCAGCATATCTAACTGTTAAGAAAATAAATTTTGAAACTCCATTGTCTAAGTTAAAATACCAGTCTGCCACTCACTATCTATGTGATATTGGGCAAGTTGCTTAACGCCATAGATTGAATTGCATCCCTTAAAACATATGTCAACTTGACTGGGCCATGATTCTCAGTGGTTTGGTAGTTATGTAATGATGTAATTTGGCAGTTATGTAGTGATGTGATCATCCCTCATGTTGTGATCAGCCAACCAATTGTAATGGGATTATAAAGGGGTGCAGCACCCTTACTCAGGTCATAGCCCTGATCAGAAGTAAGGTCTGTTTCCCTGAGGTGTGGCCTGTTGCACCTCCTATCTTACACGTGATAAAAGGAGAGAGAAGTGAGTAGAGAAGGAAGGACTTACTACCACCAAAAAAGAAGAGCCTGGAGCAAAGTGTGTCCCCTGGACTTGGGGACTCTGTGCTGAGAACCTCCTAGACCTACAGAATGGTTGATGCTAAGACACATGGAGATCTCTAAGGGATGTTGGGCCCACAGATGTTGAAAGGAGACAAGTACTTTGCCTGAGAACTGACAGAGAGAAAACCTTCCCATAGAGCTGGCTCCCTGAATTTGGACCTCTAGCTTCATAAATTGTGAGATAATAAATTTCTGTTGGTTCAAGCTATCCACTTGTGTTATTTCTATTATTGCAGTGTAAGAGAACTAAGACATCTCCCTGTGCTTCAGTGTTATCTTCTCTGAAGGGAGAATGATGATGAGGATTATAGTCTAATTCATAGGATTTTTTGTGAAAATTAAATAAGTTAATATATGTAAAACACTTAGAACAACATTTAGCATAGAGTAAGAATGATATAAGAAGCTCTGGTGGTGTAGTGATTAAGGCATTTGGCTGCTAACTAAAAGGTTGGTGTTTTGAACCCACCAGCCACTCCATGGAAGAAAGATGAAGCAGTCTGCTTCTCTAAATATTTATAACCTTGGAAACCCAATGGGGGTTGCTATGAGTAGAAATTAACTTGTTGAGTTTGAAGAACTATGTGTATACACACACACACACACATATTTATTATTATTACCTATATATTTTTTCAACCCTATTGATTTTTCCAACTGGTGGCAGAATTTTGTGCTGTTATAGTGTACTAAAGTATTAAAGATTTTAGGGACAGGAAGAATATCTTACAAGCTAAGGACTATATAGCATAAGAGAACAATTTCTGGTTTAAATGCAGTATTTTTTAAAAGTGAAGCTTATTCATTTGTTTGTTTATTTAGCTTTAAGGAGGGGTGTATAAAATGGGTTCTGAAATCAGAACACCACAATTCAAATACCAGCTAACTACTTCATTTCCTGTGTTAAACTGAATAATTTACTTAACCTCTTCAAACTTTGATGTTCTGCTCTGTGAAATAGCGACAATAAAAATCATGATCTTATTTTGAAGATAGAATTGGTTAACACGTGCAAAAGTTTTAGCACATCATCTGAAACATAGTAAAGAGTTTAGTAATTATTAACTACTATTAATTATGTTTCTACTATGCAAATGGCCAGATGTGATAGTCTATTATCTCAGGAATAAAATTATATATGGATGTTAAAAGTTGCTGTTAGTTACAGAATATAACTTTTATAAGATAGCTTAATAGATCAAATTACACATTGTACTTACTACAGAGATCTCACTTCATAGTTTCAAATTATAAAGTATTTCATAAATACAAAGAATGTTACATAGATGATCTCATTTTATTTTGTAACAGTTTTGTAAGCTACATAATTTTATCATTCCTCTTTTATAGATGAGAAAAGCAAGATTCAAAGAAAATAAACAGATTTACGTAAAGTTATTCAGTCAGCACTCAACTGACTCAAGTTCTGGGCAAAACTCCTTCTGTTACAGCATGCAGAAAAGATGATTTAAGATTGAAAATTCCATACAATGTTGCATAGCAAAAATACTCTTTCCACAAAATGGACACTAAATTAGCAAAGCAGGGTTGAAAACAATTCCACTGTTGAGAAATGTAGAAATTTAAGTCTGTGGTGCTTTGATACACAGAAATCTACATTTTTTAAATAAGAAGGTCTGCTATTAAAGAAAAAAATTGTTGAATGAACTAGGCAGAGAAACAGAAAAACTGAATCTTCTTGCTGTGATTCTGACATTAAGCCCACAAGGCAGAAGAGGCTATAATGCCATAGTGATTTTTCCTTTTTTTAAAAAAATCATTCACCTAATTTAATGTGACATATATATCTCTTTAATTAGAACACAGATTTTCTGGTGAATTACATTCAATCCACTTGGGTCTAAGGGAAAGGAATTGGCCAGACACTCAACTCTGGACAAAAGGTAATGTGTTATTTTTTTTAGTACAACCAAAAAAAATCAAACTTCTCAATTTCTGTATGTCAATACATTATTTGTTGCTGTATTATACTTCAAGATACTTAGGCATCACTACTATGGGGGATATTAGTTCTGTTATGCTTAATATGGAGCTCTGGTAGCATAGTGGCTAAGGCACTTGACTGCTAACCAGAAGGCTGGCGGTTCAAACCCACCAGCCACTCCTCGGAAGGAAGGTTGGGCAATCCTACTTCCGTAGTGATACTGCCTCGGAAACCCAAGGAGGGGTCGCTATGAGTCAGGGCTGACTCGACGGCACATAACAACAACAACAACAATGCTTAATATACATCTCATAACCTCTGACCATATCTCATAATTCTTAAAATTAGTAAGAAAAGAGACTTAGGGAAAAATTATCCACTCATTACCTGAATCCAGAAGACACAGTTAAGTATGCTCTTTATCAAACAGGAGTCATTAATAAGTTATAATTTTATTAAAGCATGCTGTGTGAGATATAGTAACATTGACAGGGACTCTGTTGGTAGATTTAAGTTCTTACTTTGGTTTGACATTTTTTGCTCCTATTGATTCTTTGTTCTTATATGCATCCTGAACTTTCTTTTTTCCTGTTAAAGAAAAAGCATTAGTAATTTATTCCAAACTTTCTTTATTTTAATTGAAAATGATTACCTGAAATGCTATTTGCTACTATTCTAAGATAAGGCATGAAAAGAGCTCATAAATTAGAAATATGTTGTGTTCAAAAAATAAATTTTTAACAGTGTTGCTTAAAACTCAGAACATATTTTCCTTTGGAAACAATGCCATTAGTGGTGATTATATTTCACAAATGAAGCAGCAGTCTGGGCAAATCTGCTGCAAAAGACCTCTTTAAAAGTGTTGAAGAGCAAAGATGTCTCTTGAAGACGAAGGTGTGCCTAACCCAAGCCATAGTATTTTCAGTAGTCTCATATGCGTGTCAAAGCTGGACATGGATAAGGAAGACTGAAGAAGAGATGATGCTTTTGAGTTGTGGTGTTGCTGAAGAATACTGAAAGTGCCATGGACTGTCAGAAGAATGAACAAGTCTGTCCTGGAAGAAGTGCAGCCGGAATACTCCTTGGAAGTGAGAATGGTCAGACTTCATCTGACCTACTTTGGTCATGTTGTCAGAAGGGACCATTGCCTGGAGAAGGAGATCATGCTTGGTAAAATGGAAGGTCAGCAAAGGAGAGGAAGGCCCTCAAGGAGATGGACTGACCCAATGGCTGCAAGGATGGGGTCAGTTATAGTGAGGCTGGTGAGGCTGGTGAGGCTGGTGCAGGAGGGGCAGTGACTGGTTCTGTTGTACACAGAGTTGCTGTGAGTCCGAGCCAACCCAACGATGCTTAACAACAACAATATGCTCACAAACATCCTGTGAAAGCTAAAATAGCTCAAATTACCAACAAAACTAAACTAAACTCACTGCCAACGAGTCGGTTCTGATTCACAGTGACCCTCATTGGGTTTCCAAGGCAGGAAATCTTTACAGAGGCAGACTGCCTCATCTTTCCTCCATGGAGTGGCTGGTGGATTCTCACCACTGACCTTTTGGATAGTATTCAAATGCCTTAACCACTACACCACTAGAGCTCCCTTTAAATTACTAATAGTAAATTACTAATTAAGTACTAATAGCACTTAATTTACTTTTAACTATTTATAGCATTATTTTTATGGAAAAATTTGATTCCTGATTTTTACCTAGGGTTAGGACAAAGAGTTATCTGAATGTTTCAAGGCAAATAAATTGGGCATAATGAAGAGGGGTAAAATATTTGGAAATATTATTTTGTATATTTCATTCAATCTTATTGTTCTGTGAGAGTTGTTATGAGTTGGGGGCTGACTCAAAAGCAGCTTACAACAACAGCAACCACAATATATTATCCTTGATAAAGTTTTAATGTTTTCAAATCTTCAGAGCAGTGTAGGAAAAGACCCTTCTCTGTATAGGTTGATCACTCCTCCTATTTTCTTTACTGGTAAGCAAAGTGGAATTTCCATATTAAGATCAGGGCTTGGAACTCAACCTCCCTTCAATGTTGGTTGATAAACGTAGAACATTATAAAGCGGAGGCCACTGTATAAATTCGGTCATTAAGCATGACTTTATTTATTGATTGATAGATAGGATTCCTTTTAACCTTGAAATGTGTTGTAACTTTGTGTCTAATTTAGAAATAGAAAACTGAGCCTTCTTTACTTGATTAAGGGGAACCTAGGAGTTCTGGTAGCGTAGTGCCTAAGGCACTTGACTGCTAACCAGAAGGCTGGTGGTTCAAACCCACCAGCCACTCCTCAGAAGGAAGGTTTGGCAATCTACTTCTGTAGTGATACTGCCTCGGAAACCCAAGGAGGGGTCGCTATGAGTCGGGTCCGACTTGACAGCACGTCAAGTCTTCTAAAGTTGGTAAGTATATATTATATTAAAATGCTTCAGTAGAAATTTTAGATATTAGATCTCAGACTCTTGCTTTTATCTTCAATCTTAAACATTAATTTATCCATTTAAAATTATTTAAGTTTTTGCTTCAAAGAGAATTTCTATCAGGGAGATGGAGAGGGAGAGGGATATGATTAGGGAAAAACATTAAATCCAGTAGAAAGAAACTCAGACTAAATACAGACTATATATATATATTGGGGTGAAGGGACTGTAGGGCTAAGTGAAACAGAAAAGCAAATGTGAGTCAAGAATGTGATAAGAAAATTAATAATCAGAAAAATACCCAATATCTATGCTCAAGAAATACAAAGACTTTCCTCTAATACATTTAGCATCATTTAAAGATTTTTATTATAAGATTGTTCCTGTTAAACTTTACCATGCTTACAGTGGTTTAAATATGTTTATTTATTTATTTATTTCCAGAGAACCAGAGCCATTCCACCAGCCCTGCCTGGATTCCAATGGAAGTAGTTAACAATGTCACTGAGTTTATATTCCTGGGACTGTCCCAAGATCCTAGAATGCAGCTCATGTTCTTTGCCCTGTTTCTTGTCTTCTACATAGTGATTATGGTGGGAAATCTGCTCATCTTGCTTACTGTCTTCTCCGACCCCCGGCTCCACACACCAATGTATTTCTTCCTTAGTAACCTGTCCTTTGTGGACATTGCCTACTCCTCAGCCACAGCACCCAAGATGATTGCAGACTTCATCTCTGAGAAAAAGACGATTTCCTACTGGGGCTGTGTAACACAGATGTTCACCTTCCACTTCTTTGGTTGTGCTGAGATTTTTGTTTTGACTGTCATGGCTTTTGACCGTTATGCCGCCATCTGCCACCCACTCCGTTATACTACCATCATGAGTGCCAATGTATGTTCTGTGCTGGCATCACTGTCCTGGTTGGGGGCTTTGGGGCATTCCTTTGTTCAGACCGTCCTGACCTTTCAGCTGCCCTTCTGCAATGCCCAAATCATTGACCACTACTTTTGTGATGTCCACCCAGTCTTAAAACTTGCCTGTGCAGATACAAGCCTGGTAAACATGTTGGTGATTGCCAACAGTGGTCTCATCTCCCTGGGATGTTTCCTCATTCTTTTGGCCTCTTACACAGTCATTTTATTCAGTCTTCGGAAGCGGTCCGCAGAGAGCCGGCGCAAGGCTCTCTCTACCTGCGGATCTCATCTGACTGTAGTGATTTTCTTCTTTGTCCCTTGTATTTTTATTTATCTCCGTCCATCTACTACCTTCCCATTGGATAAGGCTGTGTCTGTGTTCTATACTACCATCACCCCCATGCTAAACCCACTCATCTATACTCTGAGAAATGAGGACGTAAAGAATGCCATGAAGAGGCTATGGAGTCGTAAGATCTCCTTAAAGGAAAAACAGAAAGGCTAGTTTACCAGAATTGTGAATTCATAGAATTAACTAATACCTCCAAAGATCCTCATAGATTAAAATGTTGGAATAGTCCCTAAAACTCATTGAAAATGAAATAAATTTATACCATTTCATTTCTTTGACTGTAGGTATGGTAGTTATGTTTGTGTGTCAACTTGTCTGGGCCTGGTTGAGTGGCTAGGCAGTTGGTGGTAGTTATTCCCCATGATGAGATTGGCAATCAATTCCATGGTTGGATCTACCACAAGCAGCTGAGTAGCTGCCTTTGGGAATGTGGTCTGCTTCTTGTATATAAGGAGAAGCCTTGGGAATGGTCTCTAACCTATGGCACGCTTGGACCCTGCATGCCTGCATGTAGCCGTTTGGTTGCTCAGCAGCCTGCTATGCTCTGCCGACCTCGTGACCTATAATGGACTTAAGTTAATGGCCTGCCATGTGGTTGGGTAACATCGGGACTGTGCTCTTTTTACTTGTCAACCTTGGGGCTTCTCAGCCTCAGCAACCAGCAGCTGTCTGAGTGAAGAAATGCCTCTAGCTCCAGTGGGCCAGGAGCAGGAGGCAGAGCTGGACCCTAAGGTTGAGAGGCTTTCACCAGCCCCTAGAGCTTGGCCTTTTGAACTTGGACTTAAAGCCTCCCAATTGTAAGAATAAACTCCTGTTTGTTAAGGTCATCCCATTTGTGGTATATTTCTTGTCAGAGTGGCACTGGATAACCAGAACAGTAGGTGAGCTCCTTTTTTTATTTTTGGCTGCATCAAAGGTGCTGTGATGGTGTAGTGGTTAAAGCATTTGACTGCTAATCAAAAGATCAGTGGTTTGAACCCACCAGTGGCTCTGTGGAAGAATGATGAGGCCATCTGGTCCTGTAAAGATTTCCAGCCTTGGAAACCAGTGGGGGTTGCTATGAGTCAGAATCAACTCAATAGCAGTGAATGTGGTTTTGGTATTTTGGAGTCCTAGTGCTTAAGGCATTTGACTGCTAACCAGAAGTCTGGTGGTTCAAGCCCACGAGCCACTCCTCAGAAGGAGGGTTGGGCAATCTACTTCCATAGTGACCACCTCAGAAACCCAAGGAAGGGTCGCTATGAGTCTAAATCAACTCTATGGCAGTGAGTTTGGTTGTTCTGGTTATCAGGGCTGTAAATTTAAACCTTTCCATAGTGACATGAGTTACCCTGTCATTACTTGTAGAAGGGAAAGAGTAAACACTGCTACTCAGTATCTCATTTAGCTGCTTTAGATTCCTTCTGTTCAAATCAAATTCTCTTATGTTACAATTCAATAGTTTTGAATGAGGTTAGATCAGAGGAATCAGATCTTTTCTCCTAGAAAAAAAAGTCTAACTTGCTAGAGACTTCAATCTTGTCCCTTCTGTCCTCTTTCCTTCCTTTGTTCCCTCTTTGCATCCCTGACTCTCATTCTTCCACTTACTCACTGCTTCCATCTATCATCCCTTCATCCTTTTCTTCTCTCATTTTTTTCTAGTTATTTCCCACAAATGTTGACATAGCCTTGTAGGAGAATAGATTCATCAAGCAGATAATTATTATACAAAGTAATAAATGCAGATATAGAAATGTATACTACATACAGTGAAGGGGATTAGTATAAACTGACAGTAGATGGTTTCTGTATATGAAAACAAAAGGACAGTTAACATATTTTGGTGAGGAGAATTTTTTTAAAAACCCTTCTTGGAAAATTTGAATACTTTGTGACCCCAGTTTTATCATACTAGTTCTACTGAAACTAGTCTTAGTTTTTATTTTTATAATACATAATTAATTGATGCAACTGAAATGAATTTATATCTGAACTGTTGAACTAAATTAAGGAGATGTATTTCTATTATAAAATTTTAGTTAAACAACTGTTTACAATTTTTGAAAAAGGGACAAAATGGAATGAGCACATTTCTTCTTGTGATCTTCTTAGTAGAGATAGAGAATAGGTGGTTATTTGAAACACTTCACAGAAGATGTATTTATCTTTTTTACTTAGATCTTGATTTATGACTCACCTCTTTCAAGAAGTCTTTCCTGATTATTTTCATCCAACGTTTTCTCTATATGCCTTAAGTACTCCTGTATACACTTAATGAAACAGTATCAGAAGTGTATTTTTTAAAATGCATTTTATCTCATTTCTGCAGCTTATCAAGACTATAAATAACATGTCTTCTTTTCTACTCTGAAATGGCACAGAACTAGCTATTCAGTAGGTACTTGTAACAAAGTCTTCTGGTTATTATCTCAATATCTACCATTCATTTTATCATTAGTAACAGAGACCTGACAATATTTATGGTGACTCAGGAGCTCTGGTAGCATAGTGCCTAAGGCCCTTGGCTGTTAACCAGAAGACTGGCAGTTCAAACCCACCAGTCACTCCTCTGAAGGAAGGCTGGACAATCTACTTCTGTAGTGATGTTGTTGTTGTTGTTATTTGCCCTCGAGTTGGCCCTGACTCATAGCGACCCCTCCTTGGGTTTCCGAGGCAGTATCACTATGGAAGTAGGATTGCCCAACCTTCCTTCCAAGGAGTGGCTGGTGGGTTTGAACCGCCAGCCTTCTGGTTGGCAGTCAAGTGCCTTAGGCACTATGCTACCAGAGAGCCCATCTGTAGTGATACTGCCTCAGAAACGCAAGGAGGGGTCACTATTAGTTGGGGTTGACTCAATGGCACATAACAACAACAACAACAACAGCTAAAATATTGCATCTATCAGTCTCTCCTTTTCAGTTCAGAGTGGACAATGTGATGTTAACAGGAGCTGAAGAGTGAGAGTTTAAAAATTTTAAAAATGTTTTCTCTACACTTCAGCCCTTCTATACATGATCATCGCTAAAATTTTGTTGCATTTTATTATAACTATTTTTCCTTTGTAAAAAGATAATTCTATCTGTTTTATAACTTTATTTTTTAAATAAACAATAAAGTACTTAAATTATAGTTATAATCATAGGCTACATTAATTTTTCTTTTTTCCTATTAAGATATAAACAAAAATAACAACTAGTAGTAACAATTAACAAAGGAAAAAAAGTTTTGACTCACAAGAAAAAAGAAAATAGGATAGAGGTTAGGAACAGACAAGAGATCTCAATAAATGTCTCAAAGATAGAAAACAAAGGAGTGGTAATTGGGCTGGGAGAGTTGAGCAGGCTAACTCTGAATCACCACAGGTTCATCTTCCAGAATCCCTGAGATGTTTGGGATTCCAGGATGTAGGTAAAGGGGATGGTGAGGTCTAATACTGACACAGAGAGATTGAAAGAAAGAAATGTCTCCCTTTCTCTCTCTCCACACCTCACTCCCATATGCTCACAGGGGCATGTACCTCCCAAACAGCATATCAGTATCTTCTCTTAAGAAGCTAAATGATATTAGAGAAAAGCCTTTCACATTCTGCTTTTGGAGATCACTAATGAAATGGCTGCCATCCCACTGGAAACCTAAACTGAAGCAATGTATGAGAGTTCCAATTTCTCTATAACCTCACCAACAAGCATTATTTTTAACTTTTCTGATAATAGCCATTTTTGGTGGTTATGAGGGGTGGTAGAAGATGTAAAAGGGGGAGGTATTTCTTTACTGGTATTGAGTTTCTATTAAGGATGACGGAAAAATTTGGAAACAGATAATAGTAATGGTTACACAACATGCAGAAAGTACTTAATGTCACAGAATTGTGTGTGTAAAAATGGTTAAAATGGAAAATGTTTTGTTATGTTTATATTTCTTCAAAATAAAAGAATTTTAAGAGTGTCATGGAAACAAACTCAATGCACTTCAGGAGGAAAAGCAGAAAGTTTTATGAGGAATACACAGATAGTTTGAACTGAGCAACACAATAGTGAAAGTACAATGTGCTCTGATGTGTTAGATTCAGAGGACAGTTTAAATATGAAATATCAGGAGCTAACAGGTAACTTTCTGATTGGCAAGGCTCTGTGCAATCAATCATGTGGTTATCATGAAATTCCAGAAGGTCTGGTTGAAAGAGCACAAACATTTCAAAATAACTTGTTTTTCTAATTTGTAGGTATCTTGGGACTGGCAAGGATAAGCATTTTATAAAATAAGTTTTGCAGGGATTCTGGCATAAGCAATCTTTCCTAGAACTGGTTTTACAAAAAAAAGTGTGGGCAGAGAGTTTCCCAGAGTAGCACAATTGCCATTCCTTACCCTTACTCTTAGGAGCTCTGGTAGCATAGTGCCTAGGGCACCTGACTGCTAACCAGAAGGCTGGTGGTTCAAGCCTTGGAAGGAAGTTTGAGCAATCCTACTTCTGTAGTGATACTGCCTCGGAAACCCAAGGAGGGGTCACTATGAGTTGGGGCCAACTTGATGGCACATAAAAACAACAACAACAACAACAACCCCTACTCTTATTTGATAAAGGCAGTTAAAGTTTTTTTTTTTTTTTTTTTTTAAAGTCCAGCTGCAGGTAAGAAGTATAAGTAAGGTTAAAGGGCAAATGGAGTCTAAAGTAAAATGTAATCTAGTTTGGACCTGGGTCAGCATGTTTAGTTTTACCAAATGCCTCAGGTTTTGAAGTTTGCGTACACATTTCTGACTTTTGATCAAGCCACTGCTAGAGGGTGCTGACACATAGGACTAACTTTTCTTCAACAAGGAATTTAGTTATATATTCTGGAGTTTTATGTTATCAATCAAGTGATTGATAAATCTCTTTACTTTCACCTTGCTATGTTATTAGGCCTCAACTTCATGGTAAGCTGGCTATAATTAGGCTGAATGTTATTAGGTGAGCTGACTATTACCAGTATTGCAAAAAAACCACATTAGAGGAACAGTTTTGTTTTCTAAAGACCAATTCAGCATGTGAGATCAGTCTCCTCTGATAATTTGACTCCTTTAAAGTATGTAATCCTTTGTAGTAGAGTTCTAAAATTAGCAGTGGGCACAAGGCTGTAAACTGATAAAGATAACACTAATAATGTTGTTGTTATATACTAGTAGGTCTGGATTTT